CCCCGCGCCTCCCTCGTCCGTTTCCGCCCCTTGCCGCACCGTCTCCCCGCCAGAATCGAGCTCGCGTAGTCGCCCTCTCTCTCCTCCGTCGCCGACGACCTCCGGCCGGCCTTCTCCGCTCGCCGGGACCGTCTCCCGCCCCGGCGTCGCCTCCTCCGGCTTCGCCGCACCGCCGTCGACCCCGTCCACCCCCTCGCCGAGTCCGCCGACCGCCGGAACGCCGTCGACCCCGTCGACCCGAGCCGCGCCGCCGCCTTCCTCCGCTCCGGCCGCCTTTTTCGTCGTCACCGTCGACCTAGGGTGAGCCGTGGACCGCCGCCTCTTTTCCCCCTTCCCTTCCCCTCTCTCGGCCGCCGCTCCGCCGTGCCTATGGCCGCCGCCGGCGACCATAGGGGCGCGGGCGCCGCCTCCCGCCGACCGCGCCGAGTGGCCACCTTCGGGCGCGCCGAGTGGCCGCCGTGTGGGGCCCGGCCGTCAGCCGCCCGCGCCCTTTGGTGCGGCTGACGCGTGGGGCCCACGGCGCCGGCCGGTGCGAGCTCGGGTGCGCCCGGTCCACCGTGGACCATGAGGCTGCCGCGTGGGCCCCACTCCCGTGGACCCGGTCCGCGCGCCCCCTCTCCTCGGCTGACGCAATAAACCCTTTTTAATTTAAAATTTAAATGAAGAGATTCGCAAATATTCATTTAAAGAGCATATAAACTTCAAATGGCCATAACTTGGCCATTTGAACTCGGAATTGGACCGTTCAAGTCTCTTTTTTTTCCTTAAGAAGTCAAGAACCCATTTTTGTGCTTTGTTCCTACTTGTTATACGGAGTTTATTAGAGTAAAAGCCCTTTTATTTTCCGTTGGTCGTGTAGACGTTGCAGCTTCGGAAGATCCGCTCTTCGTGGAGGTTGAAGCCGACGTTTAGGAAAGTGAGCAAGGCAAGTCACATCATCCTTGAACATATTGAATCCCAGTTTATAAAATTATTTTGATTTAAATTATTGCATTATCGCTTTATTTAAATTCCCGCGTTATCACTATTTTATCTAGCCATGCCTATTTACCTTTGTTATGACCTTATTATTGTTATTGTTATTATTTCCTTGTTCACCCTAGAATAAACAAAACCCCAACTAGTGGACACTCTACTCATGGTACCACTAGTATGATTTTAGGTAGTTGCTTCGCTAGTTAATTAGGCAACATTAGGTGGTTTTACATCTCTAGACTTTGGGAATACTCTTATCACCTGGACACTATGGAATGGTTGGATTATTGTGGAATTGGATTCACACCTCCCCCTCTATTCAAAACCCTCAAAATGGTTTTAGGCTGGGCTCGGGGTGCATGGTTTTGATAGTAGCACCTCGGCCATATAAGGACCGGTCTTCGGGCCTCTGTTGCAAAGCACTACCGTACTTCCACATGTCTAGTGGGTAAGGCTTAGTTTGTGGCTCAGTCTGGTTATAAACAAAAGTACACGGATGGAGATGGACGAAGTCGGGGGTCGATGGACATCTCTAGGGCAAATGAAGGCTACACGAGCTGCGGCCCGGTAGTCGAGATGTTATGGCACAGGGCCGGTGTCCTGCTGCTAGGGGCTCAGTCCTGCCTACCTGTCCCGGGGGTTCCGGCCATAGGTGGGGTTGGGTCGGTACTCTTGTTTATGGCTAGGATGGGTTGGAAACTATGTCATGTCTTCCGTCCGTATACCGTGGTGGTATGTGGCACGTGGTTACACGTGAGGAAGATGTGTCTTGTGGGTAAAGATGTACACCTCTGATCAGAGTATAACCTATTCGAATAGCCGCGCCCTCGGTTATGGGCAAGCCGAGCAATGTACCCAAGTTAGTGTTTTAATTCTTAAAACCTGCCTAACAGCTAAAATGTGGAATGGATGGCCTGGGTTGGCTTGGGACGAGCTGGGAGCCAGGGTCGGGTTGCCAGTTCGGTCTGAATCATCGTAGTCCTTGGGTTAAGGCAGGTTCGTGTGGGTTCACGGCCTTGGTTAATAATATTGTATAGCTCTAGGATCGTGTTTACAAAGTAGCTTCGAGCAACTAAGTGACTTTTAATGCTGTTTACTGCAAACCCTAACCCCCTATATTATGGCTCCCTTGTGCTCCCTTGCATTTATTCTGCACTTGTAGGTGTGTCTTGTTGAGTACAGTGGTTGTACTCAGTCTTGCTCAATTTTTCCCAAACCCAGAAGAGGAGCCCCTGGATGATGAAGGCTTTGGTGTCTAGCTCGTGCCTGTCGTGAAGCGCCTGTGGTCGTCGCCCTAGTCTTCCGCTGATTTTCGTTTGTCTTCTTGTGTGCTGGGTCTTCGCCGCCCATGTAATAAATTAATTAATTACGCTTCCACTTGTTAAACTCTGAATTGTATCAACTTTTGGTGTACCTTGCCTCCTGGGACAAGGAATAATGCACGCACGTAAGGAACGCCCATTGTGTTATTTCCGGTCGTGACAATTGTTGCTGTGGTGGCTTGCTGAGTACGGTTGGTACTCACCCTTGCAAAATACAAACTTAATCAGAGGTCGGAGATGAAGCTTCGGAGGATCCCTACGCTTACTACCAGGAGGGTGATGAAGACGATGGCGCTCAGTAGGTCTTAGTTACGGTCGTTGCCTGTGGCAATGGCGTGCCGCTGCCTTAACTCCGCTGCCTTATCTGCTCGGTCCGATGATCTAAGACTATGCCTGCGGGCTTATGATGTAATAACTAGCACTAGACTCTCGTGTATGTGCATTTGGTATGTCAGCTATGAAATCGTGTGTACCAGACTACTTGATCCAGGAAAATGGTATTGTTTACACGATTGATTCCTGTGATAAAAAAAGTGGGTCCACAGCAGGTAGGATCACATAGCATGGACGCCATGCAAACTCAGGATGAAACCACCTGCCCCGTTGATGAAATCATGCAGCGGATACCATGTGAGCTACCGCCAAAAACAAGGAGCTGCCATACGATTGCACGGAAGAGGAGCTTGACGCTTATGTGGCAGCAGAAGTGAAGAGGCAATTGAAGCCTCGGAGTCCAGAAAAGAAGATTCCTATAGACCCGAGATCCAAGAACTTCTTCAAGAAGATGTCGGGATTAGTCATGGAGGCCTTAAAGCTAACGGACTATGAGTGAACTCCTAGGAAAGCTTATTATGGAAAGTCCAAACCAGTCCCTCAGCTTGGAGAGCAACCAAACCAGGAGGTCGAGCCGTTGGTGACCGGGGAAGAAATTGGAATAAAACAATTTATTTCTGACACTGGGCTAACTAAGGCTCAGGTGCTTAAAGGCGCACTAATCCCAAAGGCGGAAGTGAAATACCAGTTCGAACTCGGTAAACCGCTTGTTAAGCCTGAGCAGTTGCAGTCCCTACCGACACAGATGTACTGATTTCATCAACGGTACATGGAAATGAGCGCCAACGGTAGAGAGATGTTCGGAGCGAGGATCAGAAACTCTGACTTCTTCCAAGGAGAAGATGTTCTCTGGATCCATTTCAAGGATATCTACGAATTATACCAGCTGGACGCCCTCAACGTCTCTCTTCTGAGCGCATGGATTTTGTAAGTATCATTGAGTTAGATTTCTTGCGTTCCTTTAATTAGCACCTTGTATATATGTACACCATATATAATAATTCCTTCTATCGTTGAAGAATGGAGATTCAAAGGGCCCGATGGCGGGGGGTTTTCAATACTGGATTCATCGACCCTCAGAAAATAAACGTCGAAATGATCGACAAGTATCCGAAAGACAAAGAGGACAATCTCGTCCATCTATTGACGTAGCAGCATTACAAGACGAAGATACTGCTGCCGTACAACACAGAGTTTCATATATCATCTCATGCAAATTGTAGATTCCACTGGGTCCTTTTACTTTTCGACTTGGAGGCATGTAGAGTCAATGTTTATGACTCAATGGATAAAAAGGAGCCTACTTTTGACCAGTTTTTTTTATTGTCATATGTTCTAATGTTATTACGAATTTTTCTATTGCTAGCTACTATAGGGAGGATCTCGGATAATAATTAATCATAGCTTTAAACTCTATGTAGGGCTTGGGGTCGGTTCCGTCAATTGGTCCGCGGCACTTGGAAAGAAAAACTTAGCCGGAGGTTCAATTTTCCAGTGAGTACATGCTCTAAAATTATATTGAATCTCTAATTCAAATATAAGTGTATATTAAATCTCTCGTCGTTTGTCATGTATATCTAGTGTGCAAAGCAGAGCCAGGGAACTAACTTGTGCGGCTACTACGTATGCGAGTATTGCCGCTGCATTGCAACCCAAATCTACACCACAAGAGAGCTCGATGTACGTATAAACCATTCGAACTTTCATTGCGTACGTATCGATTTCTTTTTTACTAATTAATTTCATACATTCATATATAGGTTATTCACATGAGGGACAACTTCACACATAAGGAATTTATCGCGGCTGTTCAAGAAGAACACATGGGATTCATCAACGAAAAAGTTCTTGATCCCGAGGGTGAATTCTACTATGACAGATCGACAATTTATAAGTCGTTATCTTCTGAGATAACGCCGACGTCGAAGCCGTAGCTAGGACATAATGAATTGTAATACATGTCTATATTTATATATGTACACATTTACTTTAGTGTAAATATATATTTTGGTCATATATGCACATAAAATGTTAAGTGCTTTAAATTATATGTATCGTCTAATATATATATATATATATATATATATATATTATGCATATATATGTATTGAAACATATATATGCATATTATATGTATAAACTATGCAGCAACAGGGCCATGCAAATAAAAAAAAAAGGATCTTTAGTCCCGGTTATTTCACCCGGGACTAAAGAAAGCGATCTTTAGTTCCGGATTTGTAGTCCTGATTGGATAACTGGGACTAACGGGGGTTACGAACCGGGACTAATAAGGGTTTCTCCACCAGTGAATACCTTGCTAGATTCTTAAAACATGAATATAAATTATATTGCTCTGCTCGCAGTATTCACCTTATTCTCCATGGCAGCAGGGCCTCCTTCTCATACAGGTGCATATGTAGGTTGCCATTATCCACAAATTCATATACCAGGAAAAGGTCGGTGTTCTTCTGCCTACGCCAGCACATGAAATCAATAATGTTCGAGCTGTCCTTCATTCCCCAACCAAGAAGTTCAACAAGATTCTTCTGCTTTGCTCTACTGATGGTCTGGACTTCGTCAAAAAAGTCCTTGTTTCCTGCTCTGGATTCCCTCAAGATCTTCTTAACAGCCACTTCACGGCCCAATTGTGTCAAGAAACCTTTGTGGACTTCACCGAACGCACCTGCTCCAATCTTATTATCCATTGAAAAATGGTTTGTTGCAGCAGCCAAGTGGTGGTAGTTGAACCGACAAGCCCCACGAGTTCCCTTGTCAAATTCACGGTTTGTTTTTCTCCACTTCCACCATGAGAGAATGGACCACAACAGGAGCACCAATATGAGACCTCCTCCAATTGAGAACCCTATGGCAATGGCTTTCTTGTGATCTGCATCGATGTAACGGCAGATCGGTGACAAATTATTGACGATACTAGCAAAAATTTGAGGAGCTCTACCATGGTGCATATATATCCAACTCCAACACGCGTAAACTGTATGGTCGCACGACGATACTATGTAACTAAGTAAAATTTAATAAAAAAATGGTTAGTGTATATGACTTTACTTGATTCATATCTCCAGTTGAACATTTTACATATATTTTAAAAGTTTAATACTTTGTACAATTACAAATTTATTTTTTGTTGCATTACAATCATTCAATTATTCAACCATTATCCGAGAAGGAAACTATGTTGAAATTATAACAGAGAGGAGCAATGATCGATGAGGGTTAGATTTTTGTTTAATGGACCGGGTGCGAAAATTGATTACGCAAGAAAGCTATAGAAACTCAATTTTAATTTACACATACACTATAAAAAAACCAGTATTCAACTTTAAAAAACCAATTTTCTAGATGAGGGTTTTTTTTTTCAGACGGGTATGGTCATCGGAGAGAAAATGCCGCCTACGAAAATGGGAACCCTGTGCAAGTTTGTGGTCCGCCTGAGAAGATATGTTTTGGCAGGCGGACCACATAAGGACACCGCTTGTGAAAATCATCTTTGCAGGCGGACCACATAAGGCGTCGCTTGCGATTATTGCAGGCGGACTCCTTATATGGTCCGTTTGCGAAGTTGATTTTCACAAGCACACCGTTTGATGCACCACTTGATTCTGCCTGCAAATATAAGGCTAAATAGCATTCTTCCTCCCCGAGCACTGTTCTTTTCATCCGAAATATCTCTCTCCGAAAATTAAAATATAAGGGCTGGGGGAGATTTTGAACTTCAAATCTTTGAGAGATTTTTTTATAGTGGTTAGATCTAGGGTTAATTGGATCCATGCCACTACAAATATGCCAAATTAGAAAAATATCACTACTATTCGTGTTATTGGCTACGTGCCACTAGAATTTTGGAAAATTGGATCCATGCCACTTCGTGGCATTTTCCATCCACTCGCCGTTGACGCCGTCTCTCAGCGGCGCCACTTCGCGTGCGTGGACGAAGTGCAGAGCAGAAGAAGCAGCGGGACTATCCGCCACAGTGCCGCCATCGTCCCCCACCTCTCCATCCCCTCCCGCCCCACACCGCCATCGCTCACCACCTCGCCGTCCCCTCCCGCCCTGCGCTGCCTTCTGTCACGCCTGGAATTTCTATCCAAAATTCCAAACGCTTACATGTGTGTTAAACCCTCGTCCAGGAATCAACCGAGGAACACAACGACAATTTGATAATAGAGTACAAATAAATAACTATTTAATATTCGCAAATAATAAATTATTACAGAGGTAGATAGTTCCTCTCAAAAAAAAATAACATTCTACGCAGTGGAAAAAAATAAAACTATAACAAACTACGGAACAGCTATGGCGACTCCACTCCACAGGCATCTTAACCAAGAACAAGCCTAAACCTCCAGATCATCACCTTCACTGAGATACTCCTCTTCTGATGAATGAATGTTGCAAGAATGAGCATATGACATACTCAACAAGTCACACAGCAAATATGCAAGTGCATAGGATAACAAAGGATGGCATGATATAGCTCATTTGTAGAAAACAACATTTAATAAATATTTAAGAGAATAGTAAAACAGTTGTATAATTAATCAATATTAAATAAACACCATACAACACACCCATGTTGCATAGGCCCAACCACATTTGAACAACCAACCCCAGTTGAACAAATTAAACCTCCAAACCAGGAATTATCCATTCCAAACCAGGAGTCAAATTAATTACCACATTATTACCATTAATGAATAGTGCGAGACTAATCACGAAAAACATTGCTCAACTCACCCATAACCGCGGGTACGGCTATTCGAATAGTTTAAACTCTGATCAGAGGTGTACCACTGTACCCACAAGACACAACCCCACATCATGTCACCATGTGCCTCAATACCACCACGGTACCTCGGAAAGGAGTTGTGACAATACCCCTCGCACAACATAACCCATTACAGCGCACCTTTCCTGGATCATAATCACCCCCTTATAAACAAGGCATGGACTCCCCAGCGACCCCCATGGACTTCTCGCCACTTCTCAGTCTGCCGCACTATAATGAATCACGCTATACAAAAGATAAAGCCGTTGCCCACGCTGGCTTGTGGTTGGCACGATAAACGTTTCACAACAGTAGCTCGCGAACCGGTCCTTAATTGTCATGAGCACAACCATCAAAACCATATGCTCACAACCCACCTTAACCAGGTTTTAAATTATCAATTAATTATCCTTACACGATTAACCATCGTGAGCTACCATTTAATGTAACCATAATTAAAATAATAATATAATTTAGATTTTACCCCTTTAGTTAGCTTATGTTTCTAAGCATGGCTAAGCAAACATACATATAGCATTTAGCTGAACCAATCCAATATATAAGGTTCATGCTAATCAAATTATAACCCATAGGAAAATAAAGTCATCTTCGGCCATTATATAATTGGGAAAAGGTTCACCACCCGATGATATTCGAAAACAATGCATAGTTGAAATTAAGTAATAGCTTTAAACAGCTTCAACATGCTCAAAGGTTTGTTTGGGATTTGTGTGACTTGCCTTGGGCTTCCACAAATGCTTCGGAACCTTCCTCAACGGAAACGCTCTCCTCCGGAACGTCGGAAATTAAAGCAATTAAACAAAAATCAGCAAAACAGTACAAAAACAAGCATAAACAGTACATGTGGATATTTTTAACATGTAGATCTTGATTTTAGAAAAATTTAGCAACTTGAACCACCTGAAACGGATCTACGGTTATTTAGTTATGATTTTCCGAAGTTTTAATCTATTAGAAAAAAGAAAAAGAGGATATGATGACGTCATCATGACGTCATCCATGGCCGGCCGGCTCGGGTTGGCGACCTCGCCGGAGCTAGGGCGGTCGGCCGGGTGATTGGAGGACACCTACGCGTAGAGGACGACGAGGCGAACCCAACGGTACTCACCACAACGCCTATCGATGACCGACGACGGCCGGCGACGAGAGAGGCGGCGGCGGCGGCTCGGTTGACCGGCGGCGGCGAGCTACGGCAGTCGGCGGCGAAAAAGGATGGGCGGCCGAGCTTCTCCACCCCTTGGCGCACCTCTTGGCGACGGCGGCAAGCGGCGGCGACGGCGGAGGCGGCGCGGCGGCGCAGCCGGAGACGGCCGGCGGCGGCGGCGGGCTAAAAGGCGGCGGCGCGGCGGCTAGGAGGCACGGGAGACCACGGGAGAGAGGGCAAACGAAAGAGGGCAACGAGGTGGTCCTATATATAAGCTTGGATTGAAGAGATCGGACTCCAAACGAGAGGAATCGCTTCGGGAAATCAAAAACTCGGTTTTGGAGATAAACTCGAAAACGAGTTTGATTCGGATAAAATACCCAACGATTTGCTCCGATTCTTGAGGGGAAAGATAGAGGAGAACGAGAGGATCAAAACCCCTCAAAAATCCGGAAGAATCGGGGTCGGATTGGAGCGGATTTGGAGAGGAGAAAGGGCGGCTCGGGCTCGGCAAGACCGGCCGGCCGGAGGTTGAAGAGAGGTCCGACAGGTGGGCCCCACCTGTCGGCCTCCTTGTGAGAGAGGGGCGGGCGGCGGCTAGGTGGGCCGGCTCGGCCGACTTTGGGCCGGCTTGGCCGCTCGGGAAGGAAAGGATGTTGGGCCGAATTCGGCCCAACGGCTTAGGAAGGGGTTTTTTGAACTTTTTCCAATAAAATAATTTGTGAAAAGTTGTTTCAATTATTAAAAATACTTCCCTTGCTCAAATAATTCCCAGAAAAATCTAGAAAATAGAGGAGCAAGCATAGTATTTAATAAAATTTTATCTAGCTTATTTTTATGTTGAAAATTTTCCTAGAAAATTAGGGTTTAGCTTGTAGGCTTTTAAAATAATTTCTAAAAATGATTTAAAATACGCATTTTTAATTTAGGCGATTTTTAGGGCGTGACAAACCTACCCCCCTTAAACGGAATCTCGTCCTCGAGATTCAGAAGAACTGGCGAACAGATGAGGATGAGCTGACTTCAATTCATCTTCTCGCTCCCAAGTGGCTTCTTCTTCTGAATGATTGCTCCACTGAACCTTGCAGAACCGTATAACGCGATTCCTGGTATTCCTCTCACTTACTTCCAAAATTCTAACTGGCTTCTCAACATAAGTTAAATCTTCTTGAAGCTCTATACAATCAGGATCTGCTTCCTCCGTAGGTACACGTAAACATTTCTTCAACTGAGACACGTGGAACACGTCATGTATTCCCGCCATTGACGGAGGCAACTCTAACTGATAAGCTACTTCACCTCTTCGACTCACAATCTTATAAGGTCCCACAAAACGCGGTGCTAATTTCCCTTTGGTTTGGAAACGATGAACTCCTTGTAACGGCGTAACCCGAAGATATACATAATCTCCTTCTTCGAAAGCCAAATCTCTGCGACGATTGTCGGCATAGCTCTTCTGACGTGACTGAGCAACGCGCAACCTTTCTTGGATAATCTTCACTTTTTCTTCTGCCTGTCGCAATATGTCTGTCCCAAAAACTTGACGTTCACCGGTTTGATCCCAAAGGAGCGGCGTACGGCACTTACGACCATATAATGCTTCATACGAAGCCATTTGCAAACTAGCTTGATAACTATTGTTATATGAGAATTCTGCGTACGGCAAATTCTTATCCCAACTTCCACCAAAAGCTAGAACACAGGCTCTCAACATATCTTCTAAAATTTGGTTTACTCTTTCCGTCTGACCATCTGTTTGAGGGTGATAAGCGGTACTGAAATTCAAACGGGTACCCATCTCTACTTGTAATTTCTGCCAAAACTTCGAAGTAAACTGGCTACCTCTATCTGACACTATCTTCTTAGGAACACCATGCAAACATACCACTCTGGCCATGTATAATTCTGCAAGCTTATTCCCCGTGTAGGTTGTTTTGACCGGTATGAAGTGAGCGACTTTTGTCAACCTATCAACCACTACCCAAATAGAATCATGTCCTGCCAACGTTCTGGGTAGACCGGTTATAAAATCCATTCCTATTTCTTCCCACTTCCACTCTGGAATCTTCAACGGTTGTAACAGACCGGCTGGCTTCTGATGTTCTGCCTTGACCCGCTGACATACATCACATAGAGCCACATATTCTGCTATCTCACGTCGCATACTGGCCCACCAGAATTGTTGCTTTAAGTCTTGGTACATCTTAGTGCTTCCAGGGTGAATGGAATACAAAGTTTCATGAGCTTCTTTCATGATAGTATCCTTCAACTCCTTGTTTTCTGGGACGCAAATTCTTTCTCCTAACCACACAGTTCCTTGTTCATCTTCTACATAACCGATGGCTTTTCCTCTTCTCATGTTCTTTTTGATTTCTAGTATGTCAGGATCATTCACTTGAGCTTCTCTGACTTGATCAAACAGAGTAGGTTTAGCTTCTAAAGCGGCCACAAAACCATTGCTGACTATTCCCAAGTTCAATTTTTCAAATTCTTGGCATAACTCCCAAGGTAAACGTCGACCTTCTGACATATTACAGTAGCTTTTCCTGCTAAGAGCATCGGCTACAACATTTGCTTTCCCCGGGTGATAGTGGATTTCCATATCATAATCTTTAATCAACTCTAACCATCTTCGCTGACGCATGTTCAAATCAGGTTGAGTGAAAATGTACTTCAAACTTTTATGATCCGTATACACCTCTGTACGGTTACCGAAAAGATAATGACGCCAAATCTTCAATGCATGCACCACAGCTGCCAATTCTAGGTCATGCGTTGGGTAGTTATTCTCATGAGGACGTAATTGCCTAGATGCATAGGCAACCACCTTTCCTTCTTGCATCAACACACAACCCAAACCGAGTCGGGATGCATCACAATACACTTGGAAACCTTTCCTCGAATCAGGCAAAATTAACACAGGCGCAGTCACTAGCCTTTTCTTTAGTTCTTAGAAACTTCGTTCACAATCCTCCATCCACTTGTACTTCACTTCCTTCTGAAGCAGACGAGTCATTGGTCTGGCGATCTTTGAAAAGTTCTCAATAAACCTGCGGTAATACCCTGCAAGTCCAAGGAAACTACGAATTTC